CGTGGGCCATCAGCGGGGTCCCCGAGGAGGGCAGCTGGCTTTGGGGTCAGAAGGAAGAAGCTTTGTCTTGGGACAGCTGGGCAGCTGCCTAAAGCCGCATGGGCAGTGCCCGGGGGGGGTAAGCAAGGGCCCCCTCCTCCCACCCCTTCTCTCTCACCACCCACCCCACTTTGAGCTTTAAAGGAAATTAGAGAGGGTGTGAAGACCAGGGCAAGGAGCCAGCAGAGCAGCGGTCCCCACACCCCCATGTGGCTGACCAGCGGGGTCATCCAGCCCCAGGAGTGGGCCGGGGAAGGGCCTTAGGGTCCCCCCAGCCTGGGGGATGCAGGGAGCAGATGGCCCCTCCAGGGCCTGTGGTCCTCGGTGGGAAGGCTCGGTTTCAGCCTGGCCCCCCTGCCTCCTGGATCATTGGTCCCCTGCCTCATGTGACCGGTGGGCCCTTCCACATGCAGTCACACACCTGTGGGGCGGACACCGGCAGTTCCTGCTTCCCCTTGAGGAAGCTGAGGCCCTAGAGTGGCCTCACACTGCTAGTGGCCACCCCTGGCCCAGGCCAGCAGTCTCAGCTGCCTCCCACTTGGGCTCCTGGCTCTGCGCACCCAGGAGTGGCCAGGCACACCCTGACCTGGCACAGTGCCGCCCTTGTCGGGATGGCAGAGGCCCAGTCCTGAGCACCTGGGAGGGGTGCCCCACTATGGCTGCAGGGGCCCCTGCCTGTAGTCAGGGTCCTCAAGGCCAGTCCAGCACAGGGAAGGTATCCCACAAACACCCCCTGAGCACTTGTCCCGATGGGTGGCCGGGTCCTGGGGTTCGACGGAGGATGAACAGCCTGGCCCTTCCCACCACAGGCCCTGTGGTCCAGCTACACCAGCTTCTGGCCTGGGCCAAGGCCCGTAGGCTCGGTTCATCAGTGACACGTGGGCACAGTGTGGAAAAGCTTCCTGCGTGAGTCACAGGAGAGGCTGCACACAGTGACCTGCATGTGCTGAGCTTGTGGGCCAGGCTCGCAGTGGCATGGGAGCTGGTGGGGCGGTGGTGATGGCGGTGATGGTAGTTAGTGAGGTGGTGTTAACGATATTGGTATTGACGGTGGTGATGGTGCTGGTGTTGATGTTGGTGGTGATGGTGCTGGTGTTGATGTTGGTGGTGATGGTGCTGGTGTTGATGTTGGTGGT